CATGGCGTCACACTCGTTCCTGGTGCTTTGCTGGAATCTGTTGGCACGTTCGATTACAACCACATCGATTAGGCTGGGGCATGTGACATGGGGAAGTATTATTGTAATTAGCTGTTTGACTTGACTGCATTGTTTTCCTTAGGTGATGCGCTCATTATTGAGTTTGGACTGGCGAAAAACGACCAAACTGGTGAAATATGATACCCACGTCGTGTGTACGCCAACCCAACATGCCCTGAAATTTGTCCGATATTGAGGTACCACTCTGGTCGGGGATAACTGTCAACGAAAACGTCTCTTTGGCGGGATTTTTGTAGAAATACGAATAATGTCAATTTAATTGGCTCTTTGGAAAAACACGGGAGGAGCTTTAATTGGGTACCTTTTCGGCTGAAAAATTCGTTGTAGTCGATGAGATAGAGAGCGCCAAAGTTGAATGGCATTGACGGATACAATGCAACCTGTTTTTTCTACGCCACGAGCTCAGTTTCAATTTTCACGGATCGCAAGATGGGCTCTCTAGACCGCAATTCCATCCGTTTTGCTCCTGTTGTCTCCGTGGCGCAACCACTCAACTGTCCGGCACTGGGAGGTGCCGGAACCTGTCAAACGAGGACCGCCGCCGGGTGTACCATGAGCTCCTATCGACGTCAAAGGATGGCGAACTTCCTACTGGTGCATTTAACGACGTTGCTCAGCTCATTGGATGCCACTCTCGCACTGTCCGACGTATCTGGGCTCGAGCGCAACGGTCCATCCTCGCTGGCGATGTTGCGGCGAATGTCGATTCAACACGAAAGGGTAAACTCCTCTATAATTCAATATGTTCATTTTATATACAAATTTATGAGGTAATTATTTCTGATAGTATACTATTCTTAGGGAATTGTGGATCGAAACGAAAGCGTTCAAATGAAGAATTCGAGGAGGCCATAAGGCGCGTCCCGCATTTTAAGCAGCAGACTTTGAGATCCTTGGCGGCAGCGACCAACATTCCAAAGACAGCAATTCTCGATCACATCAAGGAAAATGGACGCCTTACAGCACGGTCCAAGCATATCAAGCCAATGCTGACGGAGAAGAACAAGGAATACCGCATGAAGTTTGCACTGAGCTTTCTCTCGCCTTGGTCACAAGGAAACCATGCCTTCAAAAACATGTACGATTTCGTTCATGTCGATGAAAATGGTTCTTTATGACCAAGGTGAAGAGAAAGTTCTATGTGTATGAAGACGAAGAAATGGCACAGCGGTCAGCGAAGCACAAGAATCACATCACGAAGGATATGTACCTTGCGGCTGTTACAAGGCCTCGCTACGATTACAAGTCAAGGCGTTTTTTCGACGGCAAGTTGGGCATATGGCCAATTGTGGAGGACATAGTCGCTCAAAGGAGCAGCAAAAACGGCCAAAAGGTACGGTCTCTGTGGCTCCTTTGAGCGTCGATGGTCCTGTGTATACGAAGTTAATCATGGACAAAGTCGTTCCAGCCATCGCGACCAAATTCCCCCGCTCATACCATGCGAAGACGGTTTTCCTCCAACAGGATAACGCCAGCCCTCACTGTTGCATCACATCCGAGTACATACGGTCGAAAGGCTATCAGTATATTGAAGTCGCCAAGCAACTAGCAAATAGTCCAGACTTCAACGTTTTGGACTTAGGATAATTTAATACTATTCAAAGTCTGCAGCAGCAAAAGCAAACTCGATCAATCGAGGAGCTCATTGCTGCTGTTGAAGTCTCGTTTTTTGAGTTGTCGCCGAGGAATCTGACGAAAACTTTTATCACATTGCAAATGGCTTTGAGAAGTTCCTTGGAGGTGTTCGGGAATAACGATTATAAGCTCGTGCATATGAAAAAAGATTCGACAATCGAAGACTTGGCATCGTTCAACCTGGAATGTGAGGACTCTATCGTTACAATGCCGTGATCAAATTGAACTCTCCAAATCAAGTAGATGTAGATAATGTCCATTAAAATTTGATCAAGTCTCAAAAATCGTTGACAGTTATACCCGACCAGAGTAGTAATTATTTTTGAGAACGGACTTAGTGTAAATTGTGACGTTGCATGTAGTTTAGCAATATAACTGTTCACACAACATCCACGAAGTGCAGAGACCAGCTCATTGCTTTTGTTCGGGGTGAATTTCAAAGAGCGATTTTCGGTATGGCTGGCGAAGACGTGTGTGCTCTGCCGCGACGAATTGAAGGCGTTAGGTCTCTCCATCGCAAAAATCAGGAGACATTCATTCAGGAAAGGCGTGGCATCCGAGCTAGCAAATTGCCCCGGCGGTCCACAGGCGATATCAATTTGGTTGCGTGCCGGTTGGAGTTTAGGCAGTTTGCAGGGCCGGTATATTTACAAGGTGTCGGTGAAGATCTATTCGTGGGACGAGCAGCGTCAGGTAATTCTCGAAGAGAATGCAGATAAATACATTCTTGGTAGGGCTCTACTGTATACGTATTAACGACACCTCCTTTGCCGCCCTTCCACCACATATCCATGGTGCTGCATTATCGGCGGTTCAGTGGGCTGCCATTTTGCCTGGTTTTACAGCGTTCTATCCTGCCACATTTCCATCGGTCATTCCATTCCTCTTGGCGTCGCTCGTGTACCACTGGAAATGGCTCAAGGCTACGCTTGCAGTCGCATGTATGGAC